TGAGAAGACGCAACACACACACACACACACGCACGCACGTCTTTTTTTTTTGTTCTATCGGGGGTGAGGTGGGTGGTGGGTGGTGGATGGTGGGGAGGGGGCAGAGCTGGGTAATGCGTGCGGCACTCTTTTTTGCGTTTTTCCTCCCGTCTTGCTTCTCTGCCACTCCCGGCGGTAGTGTGGCAGCGGCACACACTGCCCTCCATAGGCGTTCCCGGGCGACAACAACAACAGCAGGAAAAGGAAGGAGGAATAAAAGAAGAATACGAACGAAGACTAAAAGGAAGACGGAAGCAGCAGCAGGAGACATTCTTTTTGCCCAGGAGAAACGTAGGAGGGGACTCGCGTCTTTTTCCTTCAGCAGTTTCTCGCACACGTGTGAATAGGTGGCCACACCCATCCATCCAATACACACACACACAATACACAATACACACACGGCGTGCCGGTGCGTGTGGCGGTTGTAGGGAGCGAGGGGGCAACGAGGACAAGCCCACAGAGGTAAAATTAACCAAAAAAGAAACAACAACAAACAAACATGCGCCCGCTGGCTGCTTCCGCACCTTCCTTCTCGCGACGCCACAAAAGCGATATGAGCGGAATACGCCCGGCGCCTCCACCAGCAGTGGCGCGTCGGTTCCTGGGGGACGCCCGTGCCACGCAAGGCGATCAACATCCTCAGCGTCCGTCCTCAAAAGTGATGGAGACAACCCCGGCGGCGGCGGCCACAGCAGCGACTGCCGCGGCATCACCGTCGCCGTCAACAGGTGCGTCCTTTGCTGCGCTATTTGCGATTGTGGAGTACCTGCCGCCGGAGGCGCCGCTAGCACTTGTCGCCTGTAGTCCGTGCACCAGACTCGCCCTGGAGACGCGGGAGAAGGGCTGCGTTCTGCCGGGCAACCTCTGTTTTGAGCGGCGCCCGGGCCCGCCTGCCACGGAGGCTCCCAGGCGATTATTGGGCGGGGAAACCGGCACACCAAAGCACAGAAGTCGCAGTGGCAGCAGCTACAGCAGTGAGGGGAGTAGCGTTAGCGGCGAAAGTCTCAACTCCGAGGCCGGCGTCTACCTTTCACCGCCGCAGGAGCTTTGCCAGTTTTTGACGTCGCACAAAACCTCCACCTCTTGGGTGGCGGGGCAGGCGGCCGGGTTGCGGCCAACAACACCTGCCGCAGCCGCAGCCGCAGCCGCGGGGGGAGAGGAGGGAGGGGCGACGGCCGCAGTGGCCGCGGGAAAAATGGCGACGCGAACTTCAGCGGCGCCAAAGGAGGCGCCCACCCCCGAGCTTCTGCCGCAGCGGGCGCTGCAGTACGCCCTCTGGTGGCTGCGGCGTTTGCCGCTCCCGGTATCGCTGAGCCTGTACCGCTTCGACCCCAATGAGGTGAAGGCGCTGACGGCGCAGCTGCAGAGCCTGCCGCGCACGATTGTGCTGCGCGAGCTCGCCCTGCACGGGCGGCAAGTCTCCGACGTCACACCGTTTTTGCCGCACTGCGCCGATGTGCGGGCACTGGCGCTGCGCAACACACACTTGACGAGCGAAAACCTCAGCGTGCTGCCCAAAAGCTGCCGCCACGTTGAAAGACTCTCGCTCTGCATGAGCTCCTCGGTGTCCGGCACGCAGTTCCTGCGCCACCGCGCGCTGCGCACGCTTCGCGACTTGGATCTCTCCTACACCCAAGTCACGGAAGATGGCGTGAGCCGCGACGTCTCGACGCTGAAGAAGTTGTCCCGTCTCTCGCTTGAGGGGTGCCGAAAAATTGAGGGCCTCCAGTGGGTTCAGACACTCACCCGTCTTCGGGAGCTGGACTTGGCGTACAGCGGCGTCACCGACAGCAGTCTGACGGCGCTGTGCTGCTGCGCCGAGCTCACCAAGCTCGACCTGCAGTGGTGCGGGCGTCTCACCAACCTGCACTGCGTCGTCGGGGCGCTCTGCGAGAGTCTGCGGGAGCTCAACCTCACGGAGACCTCCGTGACAAACGAGGGCCTCGCGCCGCTCAGGGACTTCGTGGCGCTGGAATGGATCTCTCTGGAGGGCTGCAGTGCGCTGTCTGACGTGAATGTGCTCGGCAACCTCAAGGCGTTGCGCGAGGTCGACGTGGGACGCACGCGGGTCACGAACGAGGGCGTGGTGTCCCTCGCCCAGTGCCAGGCTTTGCGCGTGGTGCGCCTGCGGCAGTGCTATCGCCTGACGGACGTCAACTTCCTTGGAGCCCTGCAGCTGCTGGAGGAGGTGGACGTCTCGGACTGCCCCGTCACAAATGCGGGCATTGCGGCACTGCACGGAGCACGCGCCATGCGGAGGCTGCGGCTTCAATCCTGCCGCGCCGTAAGCGACGTGAACTTCCTCGGTGGCCTCGAACACCTCACGCTACTGGACCTTTACCACACGAGCGTCGATGAGGCGGGCTCCGCCGCTCTTGCACTCTGCCCGCAGCTCACGACACTCATCATGCACTCTGTCCTTGCATACTCCCTGCAGCAGTGGAGCGCCGCGCTATTTCTGCCACGGCTTAAGGAGCTTGATCTCAGCAACACTAATGTGACGCCCGCCGCCCTTTCCTTCTTGGCGTGGTGCCCGGGCCTCGTGAAGCTGTCTCTGCGCGGGTGCAGGAACGTCACACACGTGGGATTCCTCCTGCTGCGGCGCTCCCCTGACGCGGAGCCGTGTGCGACAGTCGATGACTTTGTCGCTGGGGCAGCGAATACTTCTGGTGACAGTCCTCCTTCCAGCGCGGCCGCGAATACACTTGACGGCGCCAGGCCACTGTTAAAAACAACAACAACAACAACAAAAGCGGCATCGGCGGCGGAGGTGCGGCACCGGTTGAAGGAACTCACACTCAGCGACACGGGCGTTACAGACGACGGCCTGCGGGCGCTGCGGTACTGCCTGGGTCTAGAGCGTCTTCGGCTTGCGCACTGTGGGCAGCTCTCGGACGTTGCGGTCCTGCGTTGGCTGTCGCAGCTGAAGGAGTTGGACCTGAGTGCGACGGGCGTGACGAGCCGCGGGCTGGCGAGGCTGTCGCCGAGCGGCAACCTCCCCGTGCGGGAGCAGGAGGAGGAGGAGGAGGAGCGTGTGGGAGGCGCCGTGGCCCGCGGCACGCCGACGATCGATCCGCCGTGTTTGCCGACTGGGTGCATTGCCCTGGAGAAGCTGTGGCTGCGGTCCTGCGTCCAGCTGGAGGACGTGCGGCTGCTCTGCGGCTTCCCGCAGCTGGAGGAGCTCTTCCTCACCGACACGCCGCTGCGGCGAGGAGGACTTGACTTGGCCGCGTTGTACCGTCGCAACCCGAGGCTGAAGCAAATCCACCACAACAGCCCCATTGCCTTTGCCTGACAATGCAACCGGCCCGCCACGAAAAGAAATACACACAAACACAGGCTTAGTTCTGTTTTTTGCTCTACTTTTTTCTTTTTTTTCCCCTTCTTTTTTCCCTCCCTCTTTCCACACACACATATATATATGTGTGTATATGTATATATGTGTGTGATTTTTCCCCAGCCGTCTATTATTTTGCTCCCGTTTTGGTTTACTCGCAGACGTACGGCGTCACTTTCTGACGAGCAATTTGCTCACGCAAGCGGGACAGCGCAGACATGTATGCGTGTGCGCCGGGCGCGAGAGGGAGAAGGCGAGGGGAGTATATATGTGTGTACATCTATTTAATCGTACGCCTGTAGGCGCATTGCAGAGAACAGGAGTGAGGGGACTCCGTGCAAACACACATGTATCTTGTCTCTGTGTGTGTGTGTGTGGATTGTGCAACTGGCTCCGCGCGTGTATTATGCCGCGCCCATGCATCTGCCAAAAAAAAAAAATTGCAGCTTGTGCATTTTCCTCTTAGTTTTTTTTCTTATTTTGGACTTTTTATTTTGTCTTAACTGTTATTCTTTTTTTTGTTCATGCTCTTGCCTGTTTTCTCTCTCTCTATATATCTCTCTGTTTTTGATTCGTCTGTTTCACGGCTCCTTGTTTTTCCCTCTGCGTGCGTGTGTGGTCCCCCCTTTTTTTGCTTGCGGGGTTTGTGCAGTTCATTGTGGGTTGCGCACTGCTGCTCCGCAGGCCGCGGGGTGGGCGGGTGGCGGGCCCAACGCCTCTGCACGCAGAGAGAGAAGGGTGGCAGGAGGGAAGGAGGTGTACGCGTGCGTGTGCGCGCCCATGCACGGGCGCAAGTACAGTTATCAATCTTTATATTTATATTTATATTTCTGTGTGTGAATGTGGGCTGCGGCGGGGGAGGGCGTCATCCTTGCGGTGTGTGTTTGTGTCTGGGCGGGCAAACCCGCCGGGGATGCTGCCGCGCGTGCCATGGCTTGCGTGCGTGCGTGCCCGCGTTCTCCGTCGTGTGTGTGGGCGCGTGTGCACGGTCACAGTGCTGCCAATGGTGCGTTCCGCTGCTGCAGCGTAAAAGAACCATCTTCGCCTCTTCCGCTGTTGTTGCTGATGACGTCGCTGGGCCCATTTGGCTCGTTTCGCCTCCTCCCACTCAATCGCCTTGTTGGCCCCCCACTGCATCGGTCTGCCGGTGCGCGTGTGCGCGCTGCCCCACCCCTCTCACGGCTGCGTCTCCTCGCGCGTGTCCTGCGCACGGGATTGACTGCCGTTGCCCCGGCGCCGTCGTGTCTCTTTCTTTCTTTACTTCTTTCCTCTCTCCGCCGCGTAGCCTTGTAGTCCTTGACACGCGCAACCCCTACACGTCCACGGGCGGGGCAAATGGCAAGCGGCGGTCACGGCGGCGGCGGCGGCGGCTCCACCACCCCCGCAGGGGCGGAGTCGACGGCAAACGAGGCCACACGCAACTTCCTTCTCGGCCTTCCGCGGGAGGGCCCGGCACCGGGGAGCGCCGACGCCGCCTCCCTGCAGGAGGCTGAGGCCTTCGTGGGGGAGATTCAGCAGGAGATCATGGCGTACGACTTGGCCAACGCTCGGGCCATGGAGACCTACGCGCGTAGCTGCTGGGCAAAGATCCCCTTCTTTGGCGCGCGGTGGACGACCGGGGCCGCCGCCGAAGCGCGGGGAGGGGACCAGCCTCTCGATAGTCGCGGCAGCGCACACGACGTCGAGGTCGACGCCGCCGCTGCCGCGACGCAGGCCATGCGGGGGCAGTGCCGCGTGGAGCGGACCTCGGCGGCTGCGGTGGATGGGGTGAGGCGGCCCCCGCAGCCAAAGATGAACAGTTGGCTCTTCAAGCAGCGTCACCCCGGCTGGGTGCCGCTCATTCAGCGCTGGTGGGTCCCCTGCGTCTGTGTGGCGGGCCTTGTTGTCGTCTGGACACCCGACGTATGGAAGCTGCGGGCGCTGTACTGGTGCGATCACAAGTACGCCCTCTTGCGGCGGAGCGTGCACAAGGCATACTGGCGGGCAACGATGAGCGCGGCGGACTACGAGCGGCTGATGCAGGAGTTGGGGCAGGGGCAGCCGCAGCCGGTGAAGGCCAACAAGTGCCCGCTGTAGGCCCCGCGCGGGCGGACTGGCGGACGGGCGGGTGGGTGGAGGTACGACGGCCAATCGCGAAGTGCGGGCAACCAACCACAGACGGCAAGAGCAGGTGAGAGAGGCAGGGGCGGCAAAAGGGCACGTGCGTGTATGTGTGTGTCTGCCTCCATGCCGTCTTCGCCGCAGGAGTGGGAGGCGGGCGTGGAACCAAAAGCGTGCGTGAATCGGAATTCAAGGAAACAAACCAGCAACAACAACAGCAAAAGACAGGGACAGACAAAAAAAAAACAAACAAAAAAAACCAGAACAGTTAAGAAAGACGCAGAGACGTGGGGATTGGCGAGGCGAGAGAAGGAGTGGAGGGCCCCGCCGGCCTCTCTCTCTCTCTCTTCCTGAGACCGCGAGGGGGTGTCGCACGGGCCGATGCTGCAGGAAACACGCCTTTGTAAGGTGCGTGGTGCGTGCGTGCCTGCGCAGGCATCACCACCGGCGGCAAGAAGAAGTGAGGGAAAAAAAAAAAGAAAATGAAGCGGGGAAAAAAAAAGGAGTAGCTGCAAATGAATAACATTTCCCTGCAGAGGAGCGCTTTGCATTTTTTTTACTTCCTTTTTTTCCTTTGAGGGGCGTCTTTCATCCATTCATTCACGTGTGCCTCCCCTCTTCTTCTTCGTGCGTCCTTTCTTGACGCTTCTTCGGCCCGGCCGCCCACGCCCCCACGAACCACCTGCTGTGACTCCGCACCCCCTTTTTTTTATCTTTGCGCGTTGCGGGCGGCGGGCACTGTCTGTGAAGCACACGCACGCGCCAGTGGGGTGGCGAGGCCGCGGGGGTTGGTGGCTCCTGTGACTCTTTTCTCTCCCCGCCCGCCCCGTTCTCGCCGTTGGCGGGTGCCTCAATCCAACACACAGAGGCACGGGGCACCTCCACCATCGTTGACCTGCGCGTAGTTGGCGGCGCGTCCCTTCAAAAAAGTAAAAAGAAGAAGAAAGAAAGAAAAAAAAAACGACTGTGTAGGCCTGATGGAGATGCCGCCGGCGTCAGCGTCGCCCACCGCAGGGGACAATGCCGAGCCAAACCCGCCGCGTGGCGGTGAGGCGTGGGCCATAGACTTTTCACTCCCAAATATGCGGCGCAAGATCACGCGGAGGGAACGAGACGCGGTCGTCTCCAGCCGCATACGGCGGCAAATACAGCAGCTGCAGCAGTTCCAATTGGGGGCGGAGAGGGCGGGCGAGGGGCAGCCGCTGCGCCTCGGGCAGGCGGCTGACAGCGAAGGCAACCGACAGCTGCAGGTGGTAACCGTTGATGACATGGCGGACCTTAGTGGTCTGATCCCACGCGACCTCACCTCCACCCGCGGGGAGCTTGAGGAGCGTCTCTGCCTGCGCCTCCCGCGCCTGCTCACCGTGGCAAAGCAGTACCCAAGGAGCTGCGGTGTGACCTCGCTGGCGTCTATATGGAACTACTTGTACACACGCCTCGGCGAGGCCGCGGTGGGTGCCGCTCGCGGACCCGTGGCGCAGGAGGAAATCATGTCCATCCTCGGCTTCGCCCCGCCGTTTGATGAGATCTCGTGGGGTCCGTTTACCGGCAACGGGACCCTCATCCGGTGGTTTCATGCCATCAACCGCCACTTTGGCGTCAAGGGACGGGCGTACATATTATACAAGCCGCAGGGGAAGTGTCGCACCAGCTGCACCGCAGAGGAGGCGCTGCGGGAGCTGAAGCGCGTCCTGCGCGACCCACACGCCGCGGTGGTGTACCACTGCCACAACCACTACATGGTGCCTATTGGCTACCAGGAGATTCCGCTGGCGCAGACCGACTTTTACGCCCCACAAGTGCCCGAGTCGCACACAGAGACGACGGTCTTCATCGGTGAGGTGAGCCGTGGCCGGCACGAGGCAATGTACGCGCGAAAGTGGAGCGAAATTGTGAAGGATCTCATGTGCCGCTCCCCGCAGTTCTACAACATCCGCCGGCCGGAGCTGGGAGTACAGACACGCGTGCCAAAGAAGAAGAAGAGCGAGGCGGTGGGCGACGACGAGGCGGCAGTGGTCCCGGTGGAGCAGGCAGAGCAGGACGGCAATCCACCCTTCAGCCCGTTGCCTCCCCCAGCGACGCCTCCTGCGGAGGAGACGGCCGCGACGGCTGTGGGCGGCGGTAGCGCGACGCCGCCCGTCGTGGCGGGTGCCGCGAAAAGGAAAAAGACGGGAGGGGGCAACCTGCACTGCCTGATATGCTTCCGCAGCGACGAGGTGGAGGAGCACCCGGAGCGCTACGAGGAGCTCTCCTCGGCCTCAAGCAGAAGCCGCAGCGACAGCGACAGCGACGAAAACGAGTACCCGGCGGTCGCAGATGTACAGCCGATGTGAATACCCTTTCGCTGAGGCAGGGCCGCTACACCCGCCGGCACGAACGCGACCACCGCGGTGGTGGGCGTCTCACAGGCACACAGGGACACACGGACAGAGAGAGCTGGCGGGTGGATGTTGAGTATCCGTTTCTTTGATTGCTTCTACTTTATATATTTTTAACTCCAAAACCGTTTCTACACGGGTTTGCTGCTCTCGCTCTCATCAGTAGACTCTTTTTTTGCTCCCTCCACCCAACGAAGAGAAAGCAGCTAAATGATGTGGCGTAGTCACACACACACACACATATATATATATATATATATATATATGCATTAGCTGTGTCTGTGTGCGTCTGCGTGATTGCCTATTCTCACTTTGTGTGTGTTTTTGCTTTTCCTCTGTTTTTTTTGTTTTTTTTGCGCCGCGGGGAGGGGCAGGTACACCAAGTAGGGCAATATTATTTTACACACACCCGTATATCACATACGCGGGGGGAGCGGCGGTCTTTCTATCGCTCTCTGTGCGCCTGCATCCGCGGCCGCAGGTGCTTGGGGCCAAATGCGACCGCGTAAGCCCGGGGCGCATGCGTCTCGCCTCCGTCGCCGCCAAAGTGAGGCAAAGGGCGACCAAGGCGGCAGTGACGGCTGCGCGGTTAGCGGTGAACGCGGCGGAAGCGGTGAGGGGATGCTCGCGACGGACGCGGCACAACTCATGGAGCGCATGCGCCGCCGCTCGGAGGAGCGCCGAAAGGCGGAGGTGCGTGTGGGCGAGCGCGAGGGGTGGATCAAGTCGCGCTACGCCGACACCGCCGCCGGTGCGCGGTTCGACAAGGATGACGTTCTGGCGGGCCTCATCGCGGACACAAAGTCCAGCTTCCTCAAGCTGGACCAGGAGCTCTCGGAGGACCACAGCATCGCGACGCAGCGGCTGCACGCCGCCGTCTTTGCTCACACCTCGGATTTCCTGCAGCTCTTCCGTGACGTGAACCGCGCGAGTACGTTGGTGGAGAGTTTAAAGGGCCGCGTGCAGGGAACGAAGGCCGCCATATCTGCCATTAGTAAATTCAGTGCGTACTTCGCCGGCGCCGATGACGGCGACAGCCGTGCCGGCTCGGAGACGTTTGGTGTCTCACTGCTTTGCGGTGGCGGCGAGGTCGGCGGCGGCGGCAGTAGTAGCAACAGTATTGTGAAGGCGCGCGCGCGACCGAGTCTCATTTCTGTGCGGCTGACGCGAGGTGACACGGCTGTCGCCAAGGCATACGCCATCAACGTGCGTGGTGGCAGCAGTTTCAGCGATGCCAGCACCACGCACTTCAACCACGACGGGGATGGCAGCGGCGGCGTTGGGGTTGCCGCGGAAGGCGGCGGCGCGGCGGGCAGCGACGATGCCCGGCAGGTGGTCACAACCCGCTCTTTGAACACACCATCTGTGCGGCTCTGGCGTGACGCAACCCTGGCGGCCGGGGGCGCGTCTGCCTCGATGCAGCGGCATCGTCACCAGCGGTTGGACTTGGATCGCAACCGCGGGATGCCGAGCTCGCAAGACATTGCCCTCTTTGCGGATGTGCTGCGGGATGAGGTGGTACAGCTCCTGGCGGGGCGGCGCTACCTTGAGGCGGCGGAGCTGCTGCGCGGCGTGGAGGCGGCGGCCGTTGCCAAGGGTTGTCTCCCACTGATTCTGCGGCTAGATGAGATGCTCGTGGGCGTCATACGAACCCAGCTGTTGCGTGTACCGATGCCCCTCATGTACAGTGAGAGTTTGCATATTCCCTTGGTGCAGCTGCTGCTGCGGCTTGGCAGAGTGCACAGAGGGACACGACTCTTCTTCCAACTTCACGCCGCCTGGGTGGATGCGGAGATGGATAAGCTGCAACTTCGCATGGATCCAATGTACGGCGCACTGATCGCCAGTGACTTCCTCGTTGGGGCGATGCAAGAGGTGTTGCTGCGCCAGCAGAACTTGTGGAACGCTGCCGGCCTCAAGCACGAAGGGACGCCTCATGGCGCCGACAAGGATGAATGGGGTAGAAAGAAGGCGGAGAAGGCCTTGCACGGCGTCGGTGCTGGCAACATCAACAACAGCAGCAACAGCAACAGCAACAGCGGCGACGGCGTTGTTCACAGGACTACTGACGGCGGTAAAGGCGGGCCCGGCGGTGCTTCCAAAGTGGCGGCCCAGCCCGGTGTCTTTACAATGCCGCCGAACTCTGCCGCTGTGCTCTGGGTGCGCGAGCGCGTCGACAAACTCGCGCGGGAGTTGCTGGGAACCAGGGCGCTGAGTTACGGCATTGGCGCTGAGGGCGGTGACCCGTCGCGGTTTCGCCGCGCCGTGATGATGGCGGCGGACGCGATTCGTACAATGCGGCGCATGGACGACTCGGGCTACGCCGGCTGTGACACCCACCTGCTGCGCCTGCTGACCCCGAGCCTCGTTTACCTGCAGGCAGACTTCAGCGTCTGCATGGACGTTCGGCTTGAAAGCACAGGCATGGCTATGGTGGAGCACCTCGTCCGGGACGCGCGGCTGATGTACGAAACACGCGAGGCCGCCTACAACCCGAAGGCGTGTGAGGAGGCGGCGCGCCGAAACAATCTCGGGTGCCGCGAGCTGCAGCAACGTCTGCGGCAGCTTCCCCGCACCTCGTATGCCTTGTTGCTGGAACTCCTCCTTGCCCCGGCCTCCTCGAGCCTCTTCAAGCAACAGGGCTGCGGGGGTGAGGCGTTGCCGCCGCCGCCGCCGCCGCAGCAGCAGCAGCAGCAGCAGCTGAAACAGCTGCTCTCGCCGGAGAAGTACACCTTCCTGCGGTACGCCAACGGCTGCACACACTCCCACGGCCTCCTGCTTTCTTCGCTGATTCGGTTCGTGGCGGCCATGACTGGCCAGGAGTCATTGCCGTTGGAGCGCATGGAGCAGCAGCTAACGCAGGAGCCGACGGAGGAACTGCAAGAAAATAAACTGGAATGCGTCTCCTTTCTCCTTTCCAACGCCCTCGTGCTAGAGTCTCTGGATATCACGATACAGCGGCTTTTGCTTTCGTTTCTGCGAACAACGCTGCGACAGCGACAGGCGTTGGTGTCATTTCTGCGCTCTGCACCCTTTATTAACATGCACCGTCAGCTATTTGGCGTTGCATGGAAATCCGCCGCAGCGCCTCCGTCTGCCTTCACCGCGCGGTGGTTGCTTGATGCCATGCAGCTGCTCCTTGCCGATGTCTTGAGTGCCTCCGTTTGGGTGGCGTTTCTCTCTCGCGGTGGGGCCCTCTCTTACATGCTGTGCGATTCGGCCCTGACGTTTCGCTCACAGTACCTGGAGGAGCTGCGTCGTGTGCTGCCGCGCCTCGTGCAGGGGTGGATGGCCGCCGTACTGAGCCTGGCGCACAACCTCGACGCCGCAGACAACCTCCTCATTGGGGACGCCGCCGCGCTGCTTCCTCCTTCCGCGGCTGCTGCAGCTTCTGCAGCTTCTGCCGGGGAAAAGGATGAGGAGGTCGCTGTCGCTGGGTTGCGGAGGGACCGCGCCACCTCAACAGTGACCGCTGTCGCCGCGAGCTACGTGAAAGGGGGCAACGGCGCGTACGATGCTGCCGCTCAGCTGCTCCAGGCGGCAGCCGTCGATGAGGCGCGACTGACGCCGTTTTTGCTGAGCCTCGTGCACGACCAATTCTTGGCGTGCGCCGCGGGGGAAGTGGAGGCAGCGTGGTCCAAGACGCCGCCCCAACCCTCACCCGCCCCATTGCTGCCTCCGCTTCGTAGTCTGCGTGAGGTGCTTGGCAGCTACCCGCAGTTTCCCACTGGCGGCGACTTTGACCACAACGACGAGTTGTTTCTCTTTCACTGGTGCGCCCAGATCTCGCTGAACACGATTGCGTTTTTCCAGGAGCACCTGGTTCTCCCAAGCCACGTTGTGAATGAGCAGTGGGCGGCACAGCCGCACGGTTCTGCCGCAACGGGGGCGAGCAAGCCAGGGTCTCCGGCAGGCGCGCGGTACCCGCTGCGGGGTTGCGTCTCCCCGCAGGAGGAATCGGTGCTTGGGGCATTGGCTGCAGGCGGAGGGAGTTACGTAAGTGGCGCGGCGCTCCTGCAGTTCATCTTTTTTCGCCTGTTGCGCGACGTGCTCTGCCGCGTCGAGACGTGGAACACCTTGTACGGTCTTCCTCCCGAGCAGTGGCGTCAGTCGGAGAGCGTATTGAGGCAGCAGATCTTCTTCTTCGCCCTCCTTGCCCGCATCTGGTCCCCGCTCTTCGTGGGCGCGGCGGGACCGGCGGCAGAGGGGGGAGCGGTGACGACAAACCGGAACGGCAACATCGACGGCGCACCAGCGCTGGTGATTCTGCAGTGGCTGACATGTGCCGCACAACCGCGGGAATCTCAAACTGGGCCGCCGTCGCCGTCGCCGTCGCCGTCGCCGTGCGGCTTCGACGTGGAGGGGTTGGCGTTTTCTTCGACAGTTGTGGGCGCGGCGGCCGCATCGCCGGCCTCGCGGGGGCCCGGCGCGTGGCGGAGTCAGCGCAAGAGCGGCAACCGTGGTGAGGGTGAGGAAGAAACGGTGGGGCGGGACGGCACAGCGACGCCTTTACCCGGTAAAAGCCAAGCCGCCGCTGCACCATCGCCGGCGGGCGGCAGTGCGAGCACGAGCGGGGATGCCACGCGGCTTAGCCTGCTGCTGCTTGACGTGATTGCCTCGTTCTTTGACGCGCTCCAGGAGCCGCGGGCGATGCCGGCGATAAACTCCGAGGTCACGCGGACCCGTGTGGAGAAGGTGGTGGCCTCGGTCAACCTGGCTGACTTTGCCTGGAAGGCGGGACTGAGCGGGAGCGACGACGAGGAGGAGGATGAGTACGAGGACGAGGAGGAGGAGGACGATGATGATTCTATTGGAAGCAGCGGCAGCGGCGCCGGGTCTCGCACGACAGGGAGCAGCGCGCTGTCGCCGTCTCCACAGACTGCGGCTGCGGCGGAGGAGTCGTCGCGGCCCCGAGTGACGTTGCTGCATGTACACGACCTCCTCGTCTACTATTTTGCCCCGCTGCTGTGAGGCAGGCGGCCGGGCGTGGGACGCGACGTGGATGCATGCAGTGCTTCTGTGTGACCCTTTTTTCTTTTCCCCCTTCTACTGCATCGCACTTGTGTGAACGGGCCCAACCCCACGCAACGAGAGGCGTGTTTGGCATCACCCGCGGCAGATATATGCTGCAGTTTGACGTCTTTCTTGTCCCTATATATATATAGATGTGTGTGTGTGTGTTTTCCTTTTTAAATTTTGCTCTTCTGTTTGCATCGTTGCCTCCCCCCATTTTTACTCCTTTTTCAAGTTTGGCTGTGACCGTGTAAAATGAATCCCGTGCAAGTCGGCTGCCAAGTGCTGCCCAAGGTCCTCAACTCACTCTTCCACCTGCAGGACAGCCTGAACGAGTCGGTGGAAACCAATTGGCGTCAGTGCCGCCGCCAAGACGACTGGGCGCTCGCCATTACGATGGAAAGCGCCGAGTTGATTGACTCCTACTCGTGGAAGTGGTGGAAGAGCTTGAAGGCCCCGGCGGACATGCAAAACGTGAAGATTGAAATTGCCGACATCCTCCACTTTTCGCTCTCCGGGGAGATGCAGCAACGCGCGGGAGGCGTGAAGGAAAAGGGCAATGTTGCTGTGCACTCGCTGAAGGAACTGGGACTCTTCTGCCGTCCACCCTCCACCGCCGGGTCGGTTGCGGCGACCGGCCAACGGACAGGCAATGCCGCTGACGATGAACTCTCAGACCTTGTCTTTCTTCCACTCACCAACGCCGACAGCGCGGTGGCGACGTTTCGCAACGTTATTCTGCTGGCTGGCATCTACCGCTTTGACCTCATCACGGAGGCCCTCATGTTGGCGGCGCAGGACCTGGAATTCAGTCTCGTGGGGTACTACGTGGCGAAGTTCACCCTGAACCACATCCGCCAGCTCAAGGGCTACAAGGAGGGCGCGTATGTAAAGATCCGGGACGGGGTCGAGGACAACGTGCTGCTGCACGACTGCGTTAAAACCGTCTCGATGGAGGACGTCCTCAACGAAGAGACGTACTTGACGGCCTGGATGAAGATCGCCAGCTCCGTCCTTGACGCCTTTGGGATGCCCGCGCAGGAACGGCAGCATATCTATGAGAGTTTGAAGTCAGCGGCAGCAGGGGGAAAGCCGTAGGAGGCAGCTCCAGCCCTGCAGCGGCACTTGGGGAGACAGGGGTGTATGGGGCGCAGCGGGGAGGCAAGCGCATGATAACGACGCCCGAGAGGCGGAGTGGGGGTAAAAGGATTTCTTGCGGCTGCGCCGCTACACGAGGGAGCCAGCGGGCGAGGGCGGCGGCTCATCTCCCTCCACTGCTTTTTTTTTCTATTTTTCATCCTCCCACCCTTTTGTTTTTGGTTTACTTTAATGTGCCCTTTTTTTCTTTTATTGCCTAGGACGACAAATAACAGCAAAAGCTTTACGTTGCCCAGGGGGGCCGCGAGACAGCAACACAAGATAAAAAGAAGGAACGAAAAAGGCAGATCAATTAAGCCTACAGGATCGCTGAGGGGAGTGGAGACAAAAACAAACAAACAAATAAAACAACAGACTCACTCGAGAGGAGCATGTGGCTGTTTTTCATTGGGAGAGACGCGACGTGCCTCGCATGGGTTCTGGGGTGGCCTCGGTTGGCTGAACTTACCTGTGACTTCTTTCCTTCCCCCCTTTTTTCCCTGGTTTTCTCGCCACTTACGCACAATGGCTGTGTAATTGGGTACACGTCAAACACAAACGCAAAGGCTTCTCTTTCAAACGACGACGACGACGATGCCTGCCAAGTCTGCCGCTCAGAAGGTTGCTGCGCCCAAGAAGGCCGTCAAGAAGAGCGCACCGACCGCCGCGGCGAAGGTGGTGAAGGTGGCCAAGCGCAAGGCGTACACCCGCCCGCA